CAGGAGAAAGGGCAGTTGTGCCCTCACTGAGGCACCTCCACCCTGATGCACAGTAGAAAGCTTCTGCTCCTGGCAGCACCATGAGCTCCAACACTGAACCATGGCTGTGTCCTGCTCTGCCACTGCCCCAAGACAGGCTGTGACCTTGGGTGGAGGGAAAAGAAGCACAGCTAGGAGAAATAACATTTAGAGCTGCCACCTGCAAAACCCACCAAGGCTCATCCGTCAGAGCCATTTAATTAAATCCAGTTTAATATTTAGCTGTTGCTAGCTGAAGTAAATACGTAAAATATGGAAGCACTCAAAGGGCACTGAAGAATATATGCAATAAAATGTAACTCTTCTTTCCATAAGAAATAAATTTTCAGAATAAAACAGCCTTAGCATTTCTTGGGCAGGGAGATTCTCATTAGGACATGTTTACATGAATTACAGTCACAGTTCAGCATAAAAAAAGGGACAATTTGTAGAGCACTTTGAAAATGTTAGGCACCTTGCAGGCAACACACACTTTTATGTAGCTGTTACTAAATGCTGTTCCCTCAGATCTTAAAAGGGTAATACTTCTTGTTTGACTGGGCAACAAAGTGCTGAGTTTCACTTCATAGTCCTTTCTGGTTTTCTTTTAGCCCTGCACTGCTCATAAAAGGCTTTGAAGACATTTTGAGAAATGTCCTTATGTCCACGCTGAGCTGCATCTAACACTGCACTCAATTACAGCCAGCAGAGACCCAGCCTGGATATTTTAATACAACAGCTCAGGGCCTTCACAGGTAAACTCAAAGCAATAAAGATACTGTATCTTCCAAAAAGTTTGGTTTTTACCTCCTGTACCTCTCCCTTGGCATGACAGAGACCCCCATCTGACATCCCCAGTGCCAGCACACTTACAGGGAAGACTCACTGCAGCTTATAAATCCTATTTATAGTCAATTTATTGCCACTTGTGGCTTTGGGAACTATAATTGACCCTTGTTCAAACAGCAAGACTTTCCAAATCTTCACTGGAGCTCAATCTCCCTATTCTGGCAACCAATGAGAACCTTTGAGTATCAAAATAAATTAGGCAGCATTCAACTAGTGTTTGCAAATGCTTGTTAAAGAGGCAACATTTTGGAAACCTCTTGGGTTACTTTCTTGGTCAGTCACTATGCTAACACTCCGAGCAAAGCAAAAGGCACATTTCTCAAAAGGGACTTTATTTTCTGAAGTGCAAACTAACTTCATTCCAAGGATAACTACAGTATTTAAGCTACTTCTATTGGCTCAAATTCAAAAAAGTGAAAAGTAAAAGGCTGCTATTACTTTCAGACCGAGGTTATAAGATCAAAAGCAAACACGGTTACTGAAGTAATTTTGATATGATGGTAATAGATGTGTTTCAGGCGGAATGATTAAAAACAGAAAAAAGCTGGAGAACTGTCTTGTTCATGTAGAACTCAGTTCCTGCCACTCTTACGAGTCCTATAAACACCCCTTTCCCAAGTATAAAATTAAAACTTCAAAATTAATAGAATTTGATCTTTTTACACTGTCTGTGGCTAATTACTTAAAACCATAACAAAAAGATGTACTCAATCATAACTGATTTAAATTTCAATGGACTAATTTTAAAAAAATAATAATTAGAGAATCATGCCAGTGGAGAACATCACTGACTCTTTTACACATACTGAAAGATGCAGGTCAACTGTCCTGGCCACCGCAAGGTAACAACAAAGCCAGATTAAAATAACACTTTAGATTAAGTCAGCCTTACTACCACTTACAAATCCACAAATTGCTTTTTACATAGGACAAATTATGCCAGCTTGTTATCCAGAAGTAACTTTGGGTTCCTTCAGAGAACATGTATAAACTTCAAATAAACACCAAGTCTCAAAACATTTAAAAACAGAAAAATAAACTCGTATTCTAAACATTGATAAGAGATGCTAAGGAGGTAAAATAATTCCAGGGTCTGGTCTGACAAACAACATAAAACATCATAGTCAAAAGTGCTAGAACAACAGGCTCTGCTCTGAATATTAATTTACCTTCCAACTGATAATTGCAAAGCTAACATTTACACAACACAGTCTGACAAGTAAAATCTCCCATCTCATTTAACAGGCAGTTCTGCAGGGAGTGAATGGAAAGCAAGCAGACAGAATACATAATTAGGCTCCATACTTGAAGTATCTGGTCTCCAGCAAGAAGTCTTCCATCTCTGGCAATGATCCCATCTCGATAAACCTCTTGAATGACAATGTTGATCAAAGGTGTTTCATTGCCACCCACTATGCTAATTCCTAATTCGATATACGGATTGGATCGATGAATTTCAATAGTAGTGATCTCTCCTTCAGGCAAGGTAGGTGGCTGTTGATTTGCTGCCAATTATTTTATAAAAAGAAAAATTATTAATATCCTTTATACCTCATTCACTTTCAATAAAGCAAATCACCAATGGACAATGTAGACAGGCCACACGACAATGGTTTAACAAACTAAACAAGTGCAAATGGACTAGTTCCACTACTTGTTAGAACACCTAGCTCATCAAAAACAGCTCTCTAGTGACTTAGTAGCATCCATGCTTCTTGAAATGGGGTTGTTTGTATTGGAAAATGATATTTTGAACCTTTTTGATCCTGTCCTTTATAATAAATTTCAGACTCTTTTCCAGTTGCATTACTTGTATGTTCACAAGTGATGTGATGATGATATAAATGCATTTTAGGGGTTATCCCATGACGACTTGGTTGTGCTTCTTCATTAACTGGTCTTACAGCTGCTCTAAGAGCTGCTAGTAGGATATTGGGTCAAGAGAGCGAGCCCATTTCTGAAGCATACATAGAAACAACTAAAGGGGAAAAGGGGGGATACTAAAGGATGGCAAATATAGAGAAGGAAGGGGACAGGACCACCTTCCTCTGTGGTAAGGCTCAGTGCTTCCTCTCTAAAATCCCAGGTACTAGAGATGTTACTGCTCATTCGGTGCAGATAGATGCAGGAGCTACTCAGCTGCCTTTTCATTCGAGCAGGACAGCACTCCATGTGTGGCAAGGCTGCTGATCCGGGCAGCAGAGAAGGGGGAAAAGAAATCTCATCTTAGAAAACAACCTTTGTAATTTTACAGAAAATATGCTCCTTCCATTCTGGCTGCAAGGCCAGTGCCACTAGTAGATCAAAATGAACTACTGCACCATGATATGATAAATGATGACACAGCACCATGATATCCAGCACATGCTCCAAGATGTTTCTTCCTAACTGTGACCTTAAACTAGTTGTATACTTGCATTCAGCAGAAATCCACTAATATTTTTCCAGGAATTGCAAGAGAAAAGAGCAGAAGATGAAGACGCGCGTTTACAGTTGGCAAGAGACAAGCTCTGACACCACAAATGTTTCCACATCTGATAAAAGAGATTTGAGAGTGCAAGTGATGACATACTGTCTGCTACTGTGTTCTCTTCAAAAGGTGGATTGTCGATGCTGGGCTCATCTGTCCACGAGGGAAGCGAAGGTGAGGAGAAGTTCTGCTCGGCTGGCACTACTCCCTGATCTGCATCTGGAGACACACGGCCAGGCTGCTCCGTCCCACCAGGACCACTCTCCCCCTCCACTTCTGCTTGCAGCCTGCTCGTTTTCCTTCTCTCCAGAGCTACCCTCCGGTGAGAAGCGCCGGGACACCTGTGAAGAAAACATGTATACCATGCTTCAAGTCTGCAGTAACATTTGTAGCACAAAAATGCCCAAGTACTCCATCAAACAAAATCACTCTTAGAGAACCACAGAATGGTTTGGGTTGGAAGGTACCTTTAAAGTTCATCTAGCTGAACACTTCCAGGGAGCTCTTCTTCAAAGCCACAGCTTTCATCTAATCATAAAAAAAATTAAGTATGCTGGATTTCAAAGCCAAAATTTATTTTTGTGGCCAGAACCCCCCCAAAATATGGCCTTTTCCACAAAATTTCTACTACATACTTTTTTGGCCATAAACCAGACATGCTATGTAATGTGGACTTCCTGTGTTATGTACATTCCAATTTCTGGAAGATATCCTTGCTGAAAAGATTAAACAGGACTGGCATAAAACTCCACATGAAAGAAGCCCCCTTCAAAGACACATCTGGAGACCCCCTGAAGCAACCTCCATGCACCTTAGTGAGCCAAGAGAGAAGGAAGCATTGCATTTTCCTGGGGTCATTTTGGGGGCAGAAATAGAGCTGAACTTTTTAGCTACACTGTCAGCAAAGAGCTAAAATATTGGAAAAAAAGTATGCTTGTCTAGAATTTGTATGAAAAGTTCAGCAAAAGTGACAGTTTTGCTCATCATCTCTTCTTGAATCAGTAAACTGTGTTTCATTGTCCTCCTGTCTCTTTTTCTTCCTGACTTCACACAAGAAGTGCAGGTTTTTTGCTTTCCCTCATGTAACAATGCTCCATCAGCATTTTGCTCTTCTCACAGTAAATTTATTTTTGTGGGTTCCTGGGTTTTTTCCCAATAATTATTATTTATTTATTTTTGCTTACGTTTAAAATCCTACAATAGTTTATTGCAAAGAAGGGCTGCAATCCTGCAAATTCATGGAAAGCCTTCGTTTATCAAATGGTCTTACATCTATGTGCAGATAATTGGATGTGGACATCAATCCTGTGTGTCACAGTTTTGCCAGCATCTGATATTTGCCTCCTTAGAGTATTCAATGGCCTTCTTCAAGTTCCTGCTTCTGGAACTGCTGAGCATCTAAAGCTGCTCCTACTAAAGCAGTGTCAGAAAAAAGAAACTGTATCCTTGAAAGCATTCTTTGTTTGGGAACTTGACAGATTGTTACAGTAGAAGAAAAAAATGCTTTATTTTTGCAACAGGAGAAGAAATGTGTTAAAAGAGAAAAAGACCAGTGAAGTCTATTGGTGTCCTAACTTGTCAAACCAGAATGTTTTCAGAAACACAATTCTGTTCTGACATTCTGTGAAGGGGATGGGATAATTACATGGTTAGATTGTTTTGCCATGAAGGTCTTTAAAGAAATGTTAACCAAGTATTCAGCTCCAAAGAATGCTGATAAAGACACCTGTATATCTTTTGTGACCCCCAGCAATGTTACACATACATAAAATTATATACATATACAAAATATATATAAATGTATGTTTAGAAGAATAGCATAAGGTAACCCAAATGTGCTGTGAAATACATATAAATTAGAGATTATTTACATTATGAAATTACATATTCAAGAAATAATTTCTTGAGGTTTTCCCCAAGGTGACTCCTTGGTCACCATGTTCTTCAAAGTTAAAAGTGCAAGCATGAAAGCTGAAAATTACTTGAAAGGCTCCAAACAGAACTTTTTCTGATTTTAACGAATAAAAATAACCCCACTTCTTGGGTTTGCTCAAGTAATATTTATTACATAAAATTTTTGGCACAGTGGAACTGATCAGCTAAGAAATACGGCTGGTCTTAGTTTATTCTAGTGGTCAAAGGCATCGAGTTCCATGTGAAATTCAGCAGAAGGTTTTTATCATTGACCACTTCATAATGCCAACCTCAAAATAAGAATCCCAAAAGGCCAATAATAGGAGAAATGTAATCCTTTCCCTCAGAATTTCTAAAATAACTTAACTTGATGGGTCAGCCTTACATTCCTGCAAAACTTAGCACTGGCAACAGGGGCTGGGGGGGAATAAAAAATGACTGATCTCCAGCATCACTCACTCCTGCAGCAATACAGCAAAGGGTAAATGCTCTTGCACAGGAAATCTCTTGTCTACTGGGAAGCTCTGCCAGATGTGCTCTCCCATACCAATCTACAAGAATTTAGGACAAAGCCACCCCAAGCTGCACCTCCTTGGTTTCCCTGAACTACTCTGCTATAGAAGAGGTAGTTTTCAGCAAAGAGGTGAATGCTCAACAGTGATGCTGTCAGAGGACCACGCTTCAACCCCCTCAAGTCCAGCCTTACTGGACTACTTCTGTGAACTTGATACTTCCTTAGGTATCTTCTACCAAAACACTGTGCTGCTGAGTCTTAGCCAGTTCACGAGGCTTGTGGATCCCAGAGGAGCTGGTACAGATGGCAAAGCACACCTTGGAAATTTATTATTTTTGAAACTGCATGAAACCAGGATGGAATAAAAATCACCCCTAGAAGTGTCCTATTTCTGCCAAAGCCTTCCAAACCCCAGCCATGTCCCTTCACAGAGCACCTTCCCCCGTCATCACCTGGCAGGTGTGCAGCATCATGTGAAATATAAATAGATTTCAGGTTCATTTTTGCCAATGATTTTTAATTACCATTTCAAAGGCTAATATCAAGAAATGTAAAATATCTCCTGAGCACACCTACTCAGCCTCAGCTAAATCCCTTTTGTGCAGCACCCTACAAGGCAAAAAAAAGGAAAAAAAAAAAAACACCAACAAAAAAACAACAGTTGTAACACACTATGACTTTCAGCCTGGTGTAGTGGAACTGCATTGCCAGGAAAGCAGTTGTCTGGTGGAGATACTAATTCACAGGATGCCAATTCCTTGGTCTTTAAACATGGTATGCCACCTTACCAAGCCACAGAGCCCAGTATTAGTATTTGAGCCCATCTATAAGGAGATTTTTCATTTCCACTTCCAACATAAAAAGATTTTTATTGGCAGTAGGAATGTATTATTCACAAACAGTAAAACCATACAGCAGTTGTAACATTTAACATGTGCCAATAAATCTCTAAAAGTGCACACCTTCACTAATACTGTTTTTGCCCAATACCTGGGATAAAGAGCATTTTGGACTAAACCTTCTAAGAAGTAGGCAGATTTGCATATCAGGATCTAACCAAGAATTGAAGATTGTTTTTACAGGTACAGGAATCCATTCTCATAAAACAAATTGCATAAATAAGGGCTGAAAGTGAGACTGAACTTTATCTTACAGGAAATGATATCTACCCAACAATGCCAGAATATCTTGGCCACGAGCTAGCAAAAAAGCAAGCATGTTTTTCAGAATCCATAAATTATTTAATTTCTTTCACAGAATCATAGGGGTTGGAAAGGACCTCTGAAGATCATCAAGTCCAACCCCCCTGCTGCTGCAAGAAACCTAGAATAGATCATGCAGGACTGCATCCAGATGGGTCTTGAAAGTCTTCAGAGAAGGAGACTCCACAACCTCTCTGGGCAGCCTGTTCCAGTGCTCTGTAACCCTCACAGTAAAGAAGTTTTTCCTCATGTTGAGGTGGAACTTCCTGTGTTGTACCTTGGTGCTGTTTCCTCTCGTTCTATCACAGGGCACTACTGAAAAGACACTGGCTCATTCTTGACATCCATCCTTCAGATATTTATAGACATTAATAAGGTCCCCTCTTAAGTCTTCTCTTCTCAAGACTAAACAGCCCCAGGTTTCTTAGCCTTTCCTCATATAACAGATGTTCCAGATCCTTAATCATCCTCATAGCTCTCTGTTGGACTCTTTCCAGCATATCCCTTTCCCTCTTGAACTGGGGAGCCCAGAACTGGACACAATACTCCAGATGTGGTCTTACAAATGCAGAGTAGAGAGGGAGAAGAAGCTCCCTGGACCTGCTGGCTATACTGTTCTTAATACATCTCAAGATACTATTGGTTTGCTTGGCCACAAGGGCACATTGCTGTCCCATGGAGAACTTGTCCACTACGACCCCAAGGTCCTTCTCCATGGGGCTGCTTTCTAGCAGATGGTGAATAAGACTGGGCCCAGTACTGAACCCTGGGGAGCACCACTAGTCACATGTCTCCAACTGGATTCTGTACTGTTGATCACAACTCACTATGAATCAAGATGAATCATGAATCAGTAGTAGAGACACTGAAACAACCAGCAAAGCAACTATGTATTTTATAGGGAAACCCAAAGGACAGTCATTCCTGGAATGTAAAATGAGCTTCTGCTTATATTTATTGACTCCCTGCTCTCCTTCCTTCAGCACCAGCTTTTGCTCAATTCTGGATGCTGACAAAGTGTAACTTTTACCTTCAACTTCTCTTAATCCATATCAGACATAGAAGAAAGGTTTGGTTTTGGGTGTTGTGTTGTTTGTTTGTTTTTATTACAGCTGAGTCTGCTAGGTTTCTCATTTGAAAGTTTACTTCTTGGAACAGTAGCAGCAACCCCTCTCTGCAGATAAAAAGAGCTTTCATACAAAATTAAGATGTAGTTTACAGAGTACTCCATGGAATAACAGTAGTGGCTCAAAACCATATTTGCTCGCTGACTATAGAAAAGAAAGATTTCATTGTAACTTATGTCACCACCTTCTGCCCAGCCCAGAGGGTCGATAAAAGCAAACACACCAAATTGCCTCTAACCAGTTGCACTGAATTGTTTTCCAAGAAGGAGCTGAATTTAAGCAAAGACTGCAGACAAGGAAACCAAATGTCTTTGCTGTTGCTTGTAAAACGCTGCCAGAAAAGTGACCTGAAGCAGTAATTCTGGCAAGATTTACAGCTGCAATTCAGAGTACAAGACAGTGCTGCTTTGGAAAGTTAAGTGTTTGGGTCTTGGTTAGTCTTTTGCCAGACAAAAAAATTTTAAAAAACCCAAGAAAAAATAAATAAAAACAAAGAAAAGGAGGCACTAGGAGTTATCAAGATGTGGAATCAGAGAAGACTCAGGAAAAAAAAAAAAAAAAAAAAAGAGTGCTTTTGTTGCACATTTCTCTCTCATACCCAATGATCTAAGGAGTATACAGGGAGATGAGTGGCTTTGAAGCAAAGAACCACCACAGAAAGATCCTGCACCTTTCCAGTAATGAAAAGAGTCCACAGGGCATGGAGAAACTGTGTATCTGCTGTCTATCCATGATTCAGGTCTAAGAAAAGATCTGTCAAAAGAGTGTTAAATCCTACAGATTCTCTTCATTTCTCTTTGAGCTACAAAAAAGTAGGGTAGGGATGGTGCTTGCAGCTAACATGGGGCCAGGGAGGAAGAACAGGACACAGTAGCACTGTCATAAACACCAACTGGGATTGCCAAGAGTTTGAACTATAGAAGTCTGTATTTATACAACTATTGTTGCTCTGGAACTTGTTAATCAAAATCCATATATTAAGCATGTTGGCTCACACAGTGAATAGCTCAATAATTTCTTCAACTCCACAAAATACCATGCCATATAAAGTTCAAACTTAACTTGACATAAAATTGGCTTCAACGTTAGTCTTAACATCAAAAATCTGGAAAATGTTTCCATTCAAAATAACTAGCATGGCTGAATACAGGAGGGGAAAACTGAAGCCCAAGTCAAAAGTAATACAGAAAAGCAGTATCTAACCCTTGTACTAAAAAGTTGTTCAGACTTCAGAATACATCTTTGTACAAAGGAGTTTTTACAAGTCTGAATAATCCGTAAAAATTAACTAAATTTAAAAAATACACAGAAAAGCTAAGTAATTTTTTGACAAATTTCCTTCTGATGAATTACCTCTGATACTTAGAAGCGAAATTGGCACCTACTTTACTAAGCATTAGCTATTTTCCTTACCAAGTAACTAGGAAAAACAGTACAACTCAGCACCACTCTTTTTTTTTTTGCTTTAAATGACATGATGTGCACTACCTTTAACTTTAAAAAACAGTTCCCAAGTGAATGTGATGAAACTGAAAGACTGATAAATCAAGAACATTTTCTTTATGCAATGCTCTATCATGGAGTGCAATTAGTCACTGTGAAGTAATCAAGTTTGTGTCTCTTGCTTCTTATCTCCTTGCTGGAGAAGCCTGCAGTAACCTTACACTCCAAGATGTCTGGTGGATACAGTGACATTTTCTTTCAGCTTTTAGGCTCAAATGGAGATGATTATAGCAATGCTGGAAAACTCAAGTGTGAATGTTTTCAGACAGTGAAAACTAACCAACCATATTGAATTTTTAGAAATACAAACCAGCTCGTGTAAGGGCTTCCTGAGACTGGTTTACATTAATCTATGCTGAAAAATACAGTAATACTGAATTCTATTTTTTATATATTTATATGTTTGTATTTATATATATATATATCTTTATATTTATATATTTTTATTTTATTTTATTTTTTTCCTACATTTAACCATCAGTAGTAAAAATTTTACTGGATTCACCAATCCATATAAAATACAATTCAGACTATGCAGTTGGTACCATGTCAGCAGTGATTATTTACAGGTGTTCAGAGGTTTGCAAATAAGCTTAATTGAAAACCGTAAATCACCATATACTCAAAATGTGTATCAGCATCCCAAGACAACAGAGGGAATTGAAGATGAGCAGCTTTTTTCAACTGAAAGCTTTTTTCCAGCCAACAAACAGGAAAAGCTAGTGACTCAGCTCATTCAGATTTCATAACAACCTTGTACATTAAGTAAATGAATTTTTCATATATACCTGAAGTGAGCACACATAGTGTTCCATGTACGTATAAATTATGTGAACCTGTTGCAAACAGCCCTAGTATTACTCAAAGAGATGCCAAGCAAGGAAAACTGACTTATACTGTGAGGGAAATGACAGTGGGAAATCAGAAGATGAACCAAATATGTAGAAGGAATCTTGCTAACATTTTGCCTTTTATTAAAATCTAGTCAGCTTAATATGATAAATAACTGAACCAATAGCTAGGTGGTCTCACCACCCCCAAATCATCATATAGATCAGAAATTACTTTCCTGGTGGAAACGAGCCTAACCTCCACATGGGAACCATGTAGAGAAATAAAAAAAAAATAAAAATAAAAAAAAAAAAAGAAAAAGGCTCTTTGTTAGTCTCCATATCTCCCTGACATAGGCACCATTCACACTGTGGTTACAAGGAACAACAAAACCCAGGCAGCTCCTAGACCACCAAAGTCCACTGGCTTGCTGCATGCCCTGCACAACCAAGGTCCTCCCCAGCTCCAAGTCCTTGGAAGCCTTCAGGATAGGGGAAAGAAGGAAGAGACCGTGCTGGAGACAAACAGATGAACCAGCTGCTTCCAAGGCAGGCAGTCACTGCTCTCTTCCCCTCCTCTGCAGAGCACCTGCCCACGCACACACAGGCACAATGTCTGGCTGCCAAGCAACTTCCTTCACCACGTCACCCTGTACCCCAAGATGGTCTCCAAGAGTCTCTAACTGGCACAAAGACCTAGACTTGGGATGACATTCATGGGCTAGATCCATGAACCTCTCAAATAAACCTTTCCATCTGGATGGCCACCAGTGCTGCACACAGCTAACACCACCCTCCTTTTGGGGAAAGACATAGGAAAGGAAAACACTCTCTGTCCTACTACAGCCACCAGTGTTCCTCCCTCTGGGCCCAGGGTTTTCAATCCCAATGGGGAGGGCTTTCTGCCTAAAGAGCTGGCACAGTTAAGACTACCAAACCATGATGAAACACCTTCATGGTACAGGCAACTGCTGAAGTTTACATTGGCTGCTTTAAAAAATAAAGAAAAAAAAAAAGTATTGAATTGAAAGAAAGCAAAGCAGGTAAGAACAAAGCTCATGATGAAGTCATGGAAACAAAAAGATCTCATTGCAGCTGGTGACCAAGGAGACCAGAAAAGTTAAGACTTGCACCATCCATTTTCACACAGAGTTGCCAGACAATATGCTTGTTTTTACAAATGCTGCTGACAGAAACTCTCACATATTGAAATGTTATTTTGCTAGTGCCCTTTGTCTGTGTACAATGGTTATGAGCAATGCTTATTCTTCTGGCTCTGATGCTTTTTTTGCAGGCACAGTTACATAATTTTCTGAAACCTCTTTCTGCAAAATGAACATAGGTTTTCAAATAGCATTGGGTTGCACACAGGGAATATTTTCTGCTGGCAGATACAATTCACATGAACTAGATCCTTCAAAGTTAGATGCATTTCCTTTGAATTTTTTTATCTATGTAATTCTTCACTATGCTCCTCTTATAATTTCTTAAATATCTGAACAGTTTAAAGTTAGTGGGTACAGATATGCATATTTTTTTAGCCCTGACTCATTAATTCCACCATATTTTAGCTTTAACATAAATGGCCTGTCCAAGTTTTTGTTCATGATTCATGCAGTAAAATAGTTGATGCCTAAATAAATAATATTTATTTCCTGAAAATATTCTCCAACCTATAGAGGAAACAAAAGAAGTCAAATGTACCCCTCAAAACAGGTTTAACATTTTTCCATTAGAAAAATGGAATAGAGGAATGACACATCATGTAGCAGGGTACTGCACACACAGCACAGAGGCAACTCCTTTGCTGGAAGAACAAAGTGCATTGGTCTGCATTATATGAAGTATAATTCTATCTGAATTTGATAATCATAGAATACCAGGTTGGAAGGGACCTCAGGGATCATCTGATCTGACCTTATAATAACCTTATTTCCCTCTTTCTCATATGGGCTCCTTTCAATATTTAAATATTTTGTGTAGGACAGCATAAAGCAGAAAAAACTATAAGAGACTAAAGACTATAAAGATCTATAAAATTATTAATGGTTCAAAATAAGGTCCTAAACATTTAGGTGCAAGGCACATGGAATGTATCTCTCTGACACAAAATCACTTATGAAAGCTGCACCAAGGCTTCCCATTGGTGTGAAGTGATTAGTTTCTACCAAATTAAGAGGGTGTTGAACGTGTTTTATAAGCAATCAAAACAAACAAAAAAACAATCCTAGAATATGCAGCACTTGACATACCATCAACTTGTTCAGTAAACAGATTTTTTTTTAACACAGAGAAAAATAGGCCTTGCAAGAGTCTCAAGAGATCCGCCACTCATCTGCCTACCTCAAAGTAGAATCAATTCTGCAGTAACCATTCCTGATAAAGGCTGATTTACCATCTTCAGAAACACTTCTGAAAACAAGGAATACACAACCATCCCCAAGCAAACTGTGCCAGTGCCAGACCATTCTAAAGCTTTTTTTCCTAAAATTTGAACTAAATCTCCTTTATTCCTATTGCACTATTTCCTTCCTCTTTGCATATGTGGTTTGTATGTCTCTTATTTTTCCCTTCCTTCAGCCTTTTTTCCCCCTACCATAAACAACCTTGTTTTCTTTAGCCTTTTCTGCTAAATCATGTTTTCAAAACCTTTAATGAATCACATCCTTCTCCTCAGGACTCTAAGTGCTCCTCACTATTCTTGAAGTATGATGTCCAAAACAGGATTCAGGGCTCCAGCTGTGCACAGTTACAGACTGACCATTTCCTGTGGTGTTCTATTGCAAAATTAAAAATCACCACCAATCCTCTCCCCCTTCCTGTCCCCAGTTTCTACTGCTACACAAGCTGGCCTACCAAGCATGTAAGGAGCATGCAATGCAAGCACCTGCACCGCTCACCTGTTTTTGAGATGTGCTGCCAGGTCACATCGCTGCATGACTTCCTGACACACAGAAGAGAAGGGGCACAAAACAAATAGCTTGTCTAACAGTTTATGAACAAGAATGCTGGATTTTTTGCAGAGTTTAAAATGCAGAAAAAAAACTTAGGCACTTGTAGCAGAAAGTGTGTCCACAAGGAGTGTCCAATGGCTGCAACAAGGGCTGAAGGCAAATGTGGCAGACCAGGTCATCGTCCACTTCATTCTGGTAGTTGTAGAGGTGGTTCTCCCTTGTCCAGTGCTGCTGGCCACACTCAAAGCACAGAGGGTTCAAGGAGGCATTCTGCTCCACAGAAGCCATGTCGTCTCCAGTAGTCCCCATTGTACAGCTAAGAAGGCTGATGGATCCTCCTCCTGCTAGGATGGGCTTGCTCAGGTGAAGATCAGAGAGAAGCTGCTTCTTCCAGGGTGACTTACACTCTTCAGACAAGTCTCATTTTCTGCAATAAATAAATAAAAATTATTCATTTTGCATGAATTATGAAAGATCTTGTCAGAACTTTTGACTTCTGGGTTTACCAAAATATAGCAACTAGATAAAGAAGAATATTTCTGTTTTCTGTAAAGCTGTCATAGAAAGCAGCAACCAAAAAAAAAACCACCTGCAAGTACAATTCCTTTTACAACATAAATGTTTTATAGCTTCATAACAGCTGCTGCACTGCACAGCTTTCACCTGCAAGATGACCAGTTTGTGAAAGTAAGGACACCACATTATGCAATGTCACACTACAAGCATGCAATTAGCAGCTAGCACAAAAAAAAAATAAATACCCTATTGTGGAATAATGATTATATGACTAAGTAATTAAATGTATTCTTTAATGTGAGATTATGATTTTAAGCTGGTCCTACTCTATTTTTTGGATTTTGACTATTAATGTAGAATATTCCACATTACAAGTCTAAACACATCTAATTAAAAAGAAAGCAACAGACCGATTACCCTGCTCTGGGCCATTAGTAATATTGCATATGTGTCACCTCTTACTTTCAAGTCTTCTCTGTGGGTTGGTACACAGTTAAGAGGGACTGACTCTACCCAATACACCACATTTGATTTAGTACAAAGGTCAGTAATAAAAATATTGAATAAACTAATCATATGAAGCTACTGGTTCAAAATGACTCATCTGTTTTGGTTTTTATTTATAAAACAGCATACTCAATGTAAGGATAATCATGTCAGTCAAAGGACAGTAGGTCTGTCATCCTGGGATTTATTTTCTACACTTGGTAAGCTATTAAACTTTGTCCCTCTTAAAATAGGTACCTGGACAGGAAACTGTGCAGCCATAAATCTGCAATTTCAAACAGTAAATCCCTACACCCCTCCCAACCTTATTTACCCTTCTCTCCCTTACAAAATCACATTGCTTGACACTCATAACAGGATGATTTAGAAAATAAATCAAGTTTTCTTATATTCTTAAGGGACCTCCTAATTTGTTAGTTTTAGCAAATGTTCTCATCAGTGGGGAAAAAAAAATCAAATTTGAGCAATGCCTACTTTGTGTCTAAATTCTTTACTGCAATTCAAGAGACAACACTCCTGAGAGACACTTACTGTATTCTAGCAGAGTAGTAGCAAGCATATGGAGAAATAAAAACTGCTAGTCTAGGTACCGGCCCATCATCTTTATTTTTAGCTGCTGAAACATAGTCATAAATATATTCTGAAACTCATGTGAAGCACATGCAGTTTACCATGTCTTGCTTTTTAAGAGAACCCCTGTTTTGGTGTTTCTCCCTTAACCTCACACAGCCAAGCACAAGACTTAAAGCACATTTTACAAGGATTATTATATCCTTTGACGCAAAAAGGATTAAATAGTAATTTGTAATCCAGGCTTCTATTCTGCTGTGGAAATTGATGCTTATCATTGCCCTGCCTCGTAGTAGATAATATGCACCTTCTGGAAAGGATTTCACGAGGGAAGAGCATAGTGGTTCTTTGTTACTGGAGACTAAGAATGCAAAATGAGACCCCAGAAGAGATTACTCAAAAAACAGTCTAAAACGTATTATGTAAGAGCTGCAAGATTGGAGAGCAGATCAGGAGAGCCATGCACGGGGCCCTCATGCTCCTGCTCTGCCTTCATGCTGCTGGATTAACACAAGGGATGAGACCCGTCTAATGGCCGCCCTTTACGTAACGCACAATAAACCAGACACACGTTCTAGAGAAACACTCCACTGATTTGTGACTTTGCCAAATTATTTTGCTTCCTAGGGCACTAGGAGAGGAACAGAAGGCACATGTCCTGTTGTACCTGGGGGCTCTGGCAACACCAACAGGCAGGGCAGAGGAAAGGGACATGTAGAATGGAGAGAGAAAGCCATTTTAAGTTGCCCAAATTCTAGATCCACTCCTACTATTGACTACCATCAGGATTCTTCCTCCTCCAAGTAACCCAGGTCCCAAGAAAGGAGCAGGTCCAACATCAGCAAGGTTTTGGAAACACCTGGAGACCATTCTGCACACTGCAATTACGAAGCTGCAGATACAGACTTGACAGTGACCATCCTGAATTGCCCTTCTTGAAGGCTTCCAGCATTACTGTTCTTTGAAATCTATAGGGCAAGCTGTTTCTGCAGGCTGCTGACATTGCCTCTAGCCACTTCTCAGCACTGTCAGTGCCCTGTTAGCTTAAATCATCAACAAATATCATATAAACTAACCCCACCACCTCTTCTGCAGCTGACATGACCGTTCTTCTACCGCCTCTCTGCTGGCAGAGCTGCAGGAGAACTACATAGTTGATTACAACACGAAGATTTAAAAAAACCCCAACAAACAACAAAAAACCCAACCCAATAACCCACTGCTAACCCAAAAAAACCCCAAACCAAAACACAACAAACCCCCACTACCAACCCCCTCCCCCCCAAAAAAAACCAGAACAGAATCCAAAACCCGACAACTTAAACCCACTGAGATTTCTTCACGTTGGTGCTGCTGCCTGCATCCTTGACTGCTGTGCTGTGTTTGGGGCCAGCCTGTTCCATGACTGAAGAACAGTCACTGTGATTTGTATTGATTATATACCAGAGCTGCCTAATTATCAATTCCAAGACCTTTCACAGGCTGTTCCCAGTGCAAAATATCAACTGATTAACAAAGCCCATAAACACAATATTTGTTGCCTGGGCTACAACTGGGATGGCAGGCAGGCTCTAAATTTCACTGATGTAAAGCACAATATCCCTGAAATCCACAATACCAGAGCACTGTCATTTATAATACCCTACTTCAGCTCTCTTTATGCATCTCTTGTATTATTTCCTGTATCTCTTATCATTGCAGATCACCAGGTCCACAGAACGGTATCAGCTCAGGAAGCTGCCAGCAGGAAAGTAGTCAGAATTACAAAAAAAAACAAACCACCATAAAGAGGGTAAGAGAGCCAGTCAGGCCTGTTATTCAAGTCATATAATTCCCTAGGAAATAATTCCCCCAAGATTTCATTACATCAATAGAGCAGTGCAGGTAGTGCCCTGCTTTCAGTTTTAAATCACAATCCACCTGGGAACTGAGGAAGTCTGGACATCCAACTGTGTAGTTTTTTATTATTTTTTTTAAGTAGAGTAGATCCCTTCTAACCCAAATCATTCAATGATTCTATGATAACAGTTACAGGGAAGGTTTCATATGATTCCGAACTCAGGCAGCCCCTTCCTGTTCAGTCAGATTTGTACTTGCAAGGGAACACATAACATGTATTGATCAGTAACTCTGAACAACAGTATGGTCATCATCTGGGATTTCAGGAAAGACTGGCTTAATTTAAAAATGTCCCAGGATTTCTGAAGTCTGTTCTCCACGGCCATGGCACTTGAAGCTAGCTAGGAAAAATCTGGGGGTTCTCAAATTCCTCTGCCTTGACCAATTGCTAGAGCTGTGCACAGGATCTCCTAGTAGCGTGGAGTAGATCAACACAAGCCCCTGGGGAGGGAAATCTGACACTGGTTATTGTTAAAACCACATCATAACAGATTAAAAATGAGTTCTTAGTTCCCAGTCCAGCATCCTTCACAGAAATCAGACTAATGATTCGTAACTGTTTTTAAAGCAGACCTTAGCTTGAGTGGAAGAATAAAAGACAGCAGAAACTGTAATAAAAAACATGATAAGAACAAATAGCTGACGCACAGCACTAGAGGGGAAAAGTGTTATTCCACATTTTCCAATAAGCATGACCTAGCTCATTAGATCCAATCTCTGCTTTAATATTAAAGCTATACAGCAAACAAGTGAAGCAGAACTAGCAACTTGTATTGACTTTACAATATCCATGTTAATTATACTGATATCTGAAGGCTGCACTGTCTTCAAACCCCAATTCAGTTCTAGACAAAGTTCATGAGAAAGTAATCCTGTTACGACTCTTCCTCTTTTAAAAACACATAGACCTGACAGTGTTGTCAAAAAATGTCATCTGGCAGCTCGAAGTCAGGAAAAAGCCCACAAGAGATGGGCAGAGCACAGCATTTAGACTGGGACAGATTTCTGTTAATGCTGCAGCCACACTGTCACCGCATGCCAATTATTGAGTACATCTATTTTTTGTATGAATGAGCAACCCTCTTCTGTGATTTTTAAGCTGTTCAGCAGAATGACTGGAATTTTTATATTCAAACTAAATAAAATTGTGCCTGAACAGTGACTTTGTTCCACTGAACCACAACTGGGCAAGGCTGGGCTCACAGTTAAACAATCTCTCCACCGATCATTTCTTTGCCTCTGTGTTTGCCTTTTCACTCCATCAAAGCAATGCCCACCCAGCAAAGCCCTATACCAGGTGTTGATGTGGCACCATCAAAGGCAGTGGGTTGCAGGCGAACCTTCTCCTTCCCCACCTCGGGTGTGCTTTTTTATACGCCACATCCTAAAAAAGCTGTGCACACGCGCTCCCCTTGCTGGGTACTTCTGGAGTGTGGCATTTTTCCAAGTTGTGGAATGAAACCCTGCTTAAACCTGGTGAATAAGGAGTGTTTGGGAAAATTAATAGGACCAGAAGTTGCGTTGGCTATTTGCAGAGTGCTGTGTCTCCGTGGCGACAGGGGGCTACGGGCT